GAAAACACGTGCAGAGGTAGATGTACTCAAGACGGCGTAACTTTTACAAATGTCAAGCTATGGCGATAAAATTTGGTGGAAATGTCAATGATAGATGTGGCAACCCAACCAAAAAAAAACAGAACTCAAATTAGCTGACTCAGAGCATCACCTGGTGATAATTCCGGGACCTTTTTGATCAAAGTAGTATACACATTATTTTAGTTATTATGTTGAAAACGTAAAGAATTGTGTGTAATTAACATTTGCATATTATGAGAAATAATTATATAGCACAAAAATTTAAAAGGTATCATAATATTTCGCCACTTTAAGTAGATATTTAAAAAATGGCGAAATATTTATATAATTACTTTTCTGAAATGTTCTTAGTGTTTACCATGTCCTGTATATTTATCGGAATTTTAACGCAAATTTTGTGGACAACATTTGATATTGTTTTACAAACAAACGGATCTTACTCACGTCAAATGCTGCATATCATGATATCTGAATCCTTTATTGATGAAGAAAAATATTATTACATAATTTTATTATATACAAATGTAGTTATTTGTATAGGAGCGACTACGTTAACAGCGATAGGGACAATGCTCAGAGGATATCTTGTACATGCTTGTGGAATGTTTAAAATTGCCAGGTAAAAAATAAATTTACAAATAAATCACTTGTCAATTTTTGAAAGTTATATAGTTCGAAACAAGATCTTAATATTGTCTCAATAGAAATTATGATGACTTATGGAGAACTATATTTATAGCTTAAAATTAATTTATAGTTATCGTATCGAGCAAGCGTTTAAATACTCGATCAAAATACTCGACAACATCAGCATTGAGAACGAGATTATGATATACAAAGAAATAATTTGCGCTGTCGATATTCATTGTAAAGCTATAAAGTTGGTATCCGTATGTAACAACATTTATATAGTATTTGAAATAATATTTTATTTTTTTAAGGTATTCCGAATTTTTATTATCCAGCTTTGGAGGATCCTTTTTAACATTAACAATGACTAGTGTAATTTGTTTGAGTCTCAATCTTTTTGCAGTGAGTTTCTTCCCGCGTTTTTAAACATGGTATTCAATGTGAATAAACGATGTAAATTGTGTGTGTATGTGTGCGTGTGCGTGCGTGCGCGTGTGTGTGCGTGCGTGCCATAATATTCTTACTTAAAGAAAAGTACACAAAAAAATATAAGATAAAAAACAATTAAATAATTACGAAACTAATTAAAAACGAATTCTAACTTGTTTTTAACTATTCAAAATTTTTCAAAAAAAAAAGAAATGGGAAAGGGGCGGGGCTAAGTGGGCACCTTGTTTTCAATTGCAACTTTCAATAACAAAGTAAACGATTTTAGTCAAATGATTATTAGCGTTTTATAGAGTGATTATAAGACTAAAAGATGGCAATAAAAAGTTTTGGTGTTTGCAACTTTATTTCATTCATATACATAAAAAATGATGTGATTTAGAAAATGAAATCTCAAAAATTATTTTTGACTATCGAAAACACGTTTGACTACCTAAACATAATAACGCGGCACCTAAACTAACCAAACTTCGTTAGTAAAGAAGACGCCTGAAATGCTGTCTACAATATAAATTAGGAACTCATAAAATATATTTTTGCTACTCAAAATTCAAATGTCCACTTAGCCCCGATCTTCCCTAAATGCAGATTATTTTATTGTATAATATATCATATAGCTAAGTTTACATCTTGAATTTAGGCCGCGGTCTATACTCCACAAGGTCGACCTAAATTATTTGGATCCCTTCTGTAAGCACTTGATAGATGACCTGTTTTGGGTCTAAGTCAGACCTCAATCTTACGTGATCTAACTTAAAATGTGAGATCGCTTGTAAATTCAGTGTAAACGCATGCTATCCGGCCTATAGCAATAAACTGTCAATAGAGACTCACAAGGAAAGTTTCACAACTGTCCGGAACCGATTTGATTCTTCATGAAATATGTTGTTAAACATGAAAATTTAAGAGACACATATTTTTTTATACGTGCCCTAACTCATGTTTATAGGGGTGAACACGTATAAAAAAATACATGTCTCTTAGATTTTCGTGTTTAATAACATATTTCATGGAGAATCAAATCGGTTCCGGACAGTTGTGAAACTTCCCTTGTCAATATAATCAATTTCGCGATTTTAAAATACTGCTAAAGGCGATGACCGACATAGAGGGCATTAAAACCGCGAAAATATTTTAAATCACTTACGGTGTAAAGGTGGAAGTACAGAGTCTTACATAATACATAACGCATAATGCATAAGAAAATGAATCGATTAAAATTCTTCATTTTCTTCCTTTCCATGAAATAAAAGATTCTTATTGGTTGATTTTCTTATGCTTTATGGACTATGCATTAAGCAAATTTGATTGAAAGCCTTTCTTAAGTTACAATACAGGTCAGATTATGCATATATCTCTGGCTGTAAAAAAATCAATTACTTGTAACCTATAGTAACATATTTTTGTATACAAAATAAGTTATTATCAAATATACCTAAAATTTTGACCATAGTCATAATATATTAGATTTTTCACAGTATGTCTATTGGAAACAAAGAGGAATTCTTATTTCATCTTTTGATTGTGTCGGCCATTTTTGTGTACATGTTTATAGCTAATTATACTGGGCAAGAATTTATGGATCACAATAACCATATATATATTACAGCGTAAGAAATTGTCTCATATATAATTATCGCGTCCCCAATTTTATTTAATTCCAATTATGTCATGCGTATTCGAGTATAAATTAAATAAATTGAAGATTAATAATTTGTAATTATATAAATATTGAATTTAATATAATAGTTATGCGCCCGAATTATTTAATGGGGAAGAGAGAGAGAGAGAGAGAGAGAGAGAGAATCCTTATTTGTACTATTTGTCAATTTGTCAAAACGATCGTATTTGTCAAAATTTGACAAAATCTTAATCCTAAATATTTTATAGAACGAGTGCTTAAACACATTTCCAGTAATAAGAGTAATAATTAAAAAAAAATACGAAGCACATAAAATATGACTGTGCTTTTAAACAATCTCTCTCTCCTCTCACTTCTTTGTTTCTCTCTTTCAGTGTAATTCGGATTGATGATAAAAGATGATAATTAAAATGTCAGCAAATGTTTAGAGTTTATCAAACAATTAGTAAAACATTTCGTCAACAAACGAGAATTTTTTCATTTGTTGTCTTTGTTTTATTATAGATACAATGTTCGATGGTATGTAGCTCCCGTGCACGCCCAAAAGCTGATACTTTTTATATTACAAAGAAGTGGCAAAGCTGTTGTTTTGAATTTTGGCAATATATTTGTGGTATCTTTAGAGTGTTTTGCCATGGTAATAATTATTATATATCATATAATATTTTAAACATGACTCATCACACTCTCCCATTGATAATGCAACGGAAAACGTATTTCATTACAGTTATTAAAAGCATCGATGTCTTATTTCACGTTCATGTATTCTACGCAGCATTGACGCCAAAATTCATTACCTAAAAAAAATCGGATGTACGGCATTTAATTCTCACAATTCAAAGAATAAAATGTGATTTAAGAAATGCTTCTATACATAAATCACAATGTGTGTTAATATAGTCGATTTTTTATTTCCAACTGCTGCCAACCGAAGGTACAACAGAGTATACCTTTCTCCAAGATCGAATTAGTTGTTACATCAGTAGTTCTCAGTAATTATGTACAACATAGTTTAATTGATATCAACTTCACATATGAGTTTTTTATTAACCAAATTTGATTTGTAGTATACAATTATCACTAATTGTTCCGTAAAAAAAATATTATTTCAAACACATTGTTTCTGCTCGGCTATTATTTCATCTATGTTTTCTCATTCATCATCTATTACAAGAGAAAATCTATTGTGCCGATATAAGCTTGTTTATGTTTATGTTCATGAATAAATATAATAGGAACTAAGAAAATAGAATTTAAAAAACGCATTTAATACACAAAACAGAGATGTTTCCAATAAGAAATTATTGTATGTGATATTTACTAATAATATATATAAATAACCATTACATTGAGATTTTAAATTGAGCAATTTTTTCAAGGATCAAACTTCACTTATGACAAGATGCACTATAAAATGTGTGCGCGCGCGAGTGCGTGTGTGTAAAACTTTTTGACACATCGCTTGTAAGTAAATAGACCGGACTAAAAAAAAAACACACTAACAAGGAAAGGGACCCAACTGTCCCCTCCGATTTTAATAAGCTTTTAGTATGTTATTCTCTATACAAAAATAAACGACACATATTTTTTTATACGTGCCCATACGCACTTTTAGGGGATGAAACACCTTTTAGAAAAAAAAACCGCTTTTTCTCTTTCGAAGCGAATATCATCAGAACTGTAAGAGATAGAAAAAAATTTTCGGAATGAAAATTGAATGGTTTCAAGAGTAGTTTAGAACTATAATAAAAAATTTTTTTTAATTATTTATTTAAAATAAAAATTATTTATTTATTAAGAAAAAAATTTTTTTATTATATTTCTCTCTTAATGCCATTCAATTTTCATTGTGAAAATTTTTTTCTATCTCTTACAGTTCCGGCAATATTCGCTTCGAAAAAGAAAAATCAATTTTTTTCCAAAGGGTGTTTCACCCTTTAAAAGTGCATACAGGAACGTATAAAAAAATATGTGTCGTTTATTTTTGTCTGCAGAATAACATACTAAAAGCTCATTAAGATCGGAGAGAGACAGTTGAGTCCTTTTCTTGAAAGTCGAAAAATCCCCTATCACTTTGTAATTTTCGCAATAGTTAACGAGATTAATTTTAATAATTGCTGAATATAAGTGGATAAAATAGACGCCTAAGACAACTTTAAGTTATCTATTAGAGTTCTTTATAAAATATCGTAAATATGTTTTTTAAAGAACTCTTAAAGATATCTTAAAGTTTATTTTTGCGTCGATTTTAGCCAATTTGCTTCATTGGCTAATTAAAAAAGAAATTGCGAAAATTGCAAAATGGTAAACGACTTTTGGACTAAGTTTGGTCTACTCTATCTATTCAGAAACGGTGTGACAAAAAGTTTGGGACACCCTGTGTGTGTGTGTGTGTATGAAGTACGTTAAAATATATTGTGTTAGAAAGAATCAAACCACACCTGCGCGATCCATTGTCATACAAGTTCCTTTATGAAGTATTTCTTTATGGAAAACAAACATCTGTTACTTTATTGCCATAATCAAATCGATCGCTCAACGATACATCCCTTCTGGAATAAAGGTGTGAATTGTTATTTCGATCTCATGGTAATATTTCATTTATTTTGCACTACGTTTAAAATAAATTAAGCAATTCAGCTTAATATATTCAAATTAAAAAAATACAAAGCTATAGAATATTTAATCGGCAAATCAAAAAAACAGAATACGCAAAAGTTAAACGATTATTATATATTATCCATTGTACTTACATACAAACAAACATTTTTAAAATATAGATTTTAATATACAATATGATTTCTCCTGAGTTTAGAAAAAAAAACAATATAAAATTTTACACACGGAAACGACACACGGAAAAAAAAACAGCTGAAAACTTCACTGATTCAGTAAATCTACTGTCGTAATATATAGGCTGCGTTCTGTAACTCACTGCCAGTACTGGCAGCATTGGAAAGCCTGTTTCAAAATTCATCATACATATTCATAGCTACGATAGCATTGCAATGGAATAATGACGTCATAAATTTTGTCATCACCTTCTACTGCGACTACTGCGGCTAGAAAGATGCAGCAGTCACAGTACAAAATGGCGAAAGACAAGGTAATCTGTTGGACGTTTAAAATAATAAGCAATTTGAATTGATATTAAGCCAAGAAGGTGCTCAGAAAGCATTACAAGGTAAAAAGTGGAATTTTACACTTATTGATATGCAGGGTTGGGTAAGTTAACTCTTTTTTTAACTAAGTTAAGTTAAAGTTAACAGCCTTGAAAATTTAATGTCTATTAAGCTGGCACAGCCACTTCAGTACAATCAAACACGACCTATACCATACTTTTTTGCTATTTTCTTGCTAATTTTTTGCTCTATTCTCGATTTTTTGCTCAATGTTTAAATTAAAAAATTCAACCAACAGTGTGGTTGTGCTAGCTCGCGTACAAGAGTAAAGTATATTAAAGCAATTAATTGCTGAGATAATTTTAGTCTTAAAATGTTTCTAGAATTAATTGCACTAAGAATATCCCAAATCGGAATTTTTTGCTCACTATTTAAGTAAAAAATTCGACCAATAATGTGGCTGTGCTGGCTCACGTACAAGAGTAAAGTACATTAAAGCAATTAATTGCTGGGCTAATTTTGACTAATTTCTTAAACAGTCAGCAAAAAATTCCGATTTGGGATATTCTTAGAACAATCAATTCTAGAAACATTTTAAGACCAAAATTAGCCCAGCAATTAATTGCTTTAATGTACTTTACTCTTGTACGCGAGCTAGCACAGCCACACTTGGTTGAATTTTTTTATTTAAACAATGAGCAAAAAAAATCGAGAATAGAGTAAAAAATTAGCAAAAAAATATGGTACAGGTCTGCGTTTGATTGTGCTGAAGTGCCTGTGCCAGCTTAATAGACGTGAAAAATTAACTTAATTAAAATATATATATACAAGTAAATCCATAATGAAATTAATTGAATTAAAAGTTAATAAAAAAAGTAATTGAAAAGTTAAAAGTTAAATTTGGTTCGAACGAAAAACCCCAAAAAAAGAAAAAGAAAAAGTTTGATCATTTTACATAATTTTTCGTATTTTTTCTTTCTCTCAGCATATTTATTAAAGAATCTGGTTATTGTTGTTCACAAGTAAAAATTATACAATATAAAATTATTAAATTATATACTCATTATCCTCTTGCATTGTGTTTGAGGATTAACTTAAAAAAAATCAAATTAAAAGTTAATAGTTACCGATAGAATATAACTAAATTAAATTAAAAAGTTAAGAGTCTAAAATGTAACTAAGTTAAAATTAATTAACTTTTTAACTTAACTTTTGTCTTTTTAGGACTACCCTGTCTATATGTTATGAAATACAGCTTACGTTAAAAATTACTTATTGGTTATGTATTAGTTGCACGCAGTGCTGAAAGTAACGTTCCGTTACTACCAATTTCACTGTACAATATATTTGCAAAAAGGGAACGCTTGCTTCAACACACTAGAGTGATGTCATGCTGTCAGTACTGTAGTGAGTTACGAAACATAGCCACAGAAAGTCAATTTTCTATGTTAAAGTAGCAAAGTTGACAGCTAAGTAACATTAGCGATTTGTTAAACCATCAAATTTTTTTTAGTTACAGATATTGAATTCGCGCAGTAAATTATAGGTTTTTACTGTACCAACCAATTTATTTATTTTCCGTGGCAGGTAAAATATTTGTTGGCACAGCATATTTATAACAAGCTGAAATCCGCAGTATCGTGGAAAAATACAGTAGTTATGCGAAATTTACACTATTATTCATATTATTATGTGAGATATTGCTTTTATTACGCTATATTTGTAAGCTAATTAGTGAGTTTATAATGAATTCACTCATCAAGTAAAATAATTTTAAATGGTCTTTAATAATGGTCATATTCAGCGCAGCGGCTTTAACTTTGTGTTTATTTTGACCATACATTTTTAACATTGAATTGATTGATTAATTTCAATGGAATTATAAAGAATGTTAATTTTAAGAAAATGTGTAAGTATTGAAAACAACAGTATATTTATAGTAAATTATTAATAAATTAATGGTTGATATATATTGATATATGTAAGTTAGAATTACTACTTCTCTGAATAGACACAAGTAATTTATGATCACGCGCGTATGCACTGCGAAACATATGAAATATAGTCATTCATTATTGAAAACTGACAAATATATTTGCATTACTTTCTGTTGGATAATTAAAAACAAATGCTGATTCATTAAGGTAGGAGAGTTATGAAAGACAGATTAATGTGCATGATGAAGTGAATACTTTAATACTAACACTAACAAAGAATGCAGAACTTTTTACTTACAATTAGATGTAATATATTTAAGAAGCTCTCTCTTTGTAATATTTTCTACATCCATAACACTTTCCGCAGTTTCTTTTACTTCACTAGTAATAATTTCACATATAACTTGTGTCACTCACTTCTGAGACAGTTCGACCGATGTTCCCTCGAAGGATCTAACGCATCCTACGAGTGCACGCACAGGAATGAAATACATAACACAACGTCACTAGAATCGAGTGAGTTGCGCTTGCGTAGACTTCAATAAAGAAATCATCTTACGGGTATGTATTTACGGTATAAAATAAATTGCTGAATTCTATTCGACATCAAATCGATCGTCTCTTTCTTCCAACAAAATTGTCAAAGTATCGTGTCTGTGATCCCACGACAATATTTTATATTACGTGCTAAATTAGGCTACAACATTACATATTATAATAAGCTATTTAAAATTTAGCATAGAAAAAAGTTTCAAGATATACAATTGTTTAGGAGGAGGGGATACGCGAGACTTGATGTCTCTTTCGTAATCAAACGTATCTCAATGCTTAACGAGAGATGATTTTTGTCGAGACTCAGTATTTTAGCCTCAATCGAATTCTTTTGCTCGCCATTGGCTTATGGCCTTACAAACAATCAAAACTTATTCAATTACAATTCATTTTATTCTTTGGTATTTTGACAAGCTGCATTATAGTTCAGGTATATCAATATTTTTAATTATTTCTTATTACGTATCTAGTAAATTATTATACATTTAAAACTATTTATTTAATATTAATTTAATGTTTAATATTATATATTGTATTATAATATTATTTTATAATATAATTTTAATTACATTTTAATTACATTAAAGCAATATATTGTTATCACAAGATTATTATGCATAAAGCAACTGATTATTTTAGACTTACATTAATCTAATTGTTATTCAAATTGTTATTCAAATTGAAAAAACAAAACTTACATACAAACAAATTTAACGTTTTTAAAATATAGATTTCAATATACAATATAATTTCTCCTTTATTTGAATATCGATTTAGTTATATTCGAATATTTAAATATTCAAATAACTAAATCGATATTCAAATAAAGGACCAATTTTATTAATAAGGATATTTGAATAAATTTGTTGATTATAGCTTATGACATTTTTGACTGCAGAATGTACACTTAATCTTGTCATTAAGATTTTTTCTATCATATCATTTTTAATTTCATTTATAATTAAATATAACTCGTTTTGGATTAACACTCAAACTGTAAGTTAGATTTTTATTCATCCATTATAAATGTATAAAATTTTTCCCACACTTTACGGGAAACAACATAAAATATTATTAATATAATAGATCAGATGTTTACTGGAGCAATTGCAATATATTTATAATGAAATAAAAGATGAAAATGAAATTGCCATCATAGAAAAGTATGGACTGAACGCGAAACGTTATACAATTAGAATTATACGTAAGATAAAATTTAATGATTTTCTTTACATGTAGTAAAAAACAGATTGCAATCTCATATAAAAATTAAATAATAGATCACTTTGCTGCTTTACATTTGTACATTAAACGTCGTATTTTATCAAAATATAAAATATAATAAAAAAATATACAATTACTTTGTTTTTATTATTATTATTAAACAGAAAAGTAAAATATTAAAGAAGCAAAAGTATGCAATTTTGTGCTAGAATATTTGACAGAATATTCGACAAAAAATAATTAAACATATAAAATATACAAAAAATTGATCTTCCGAAGAATTTAAAAATAGCGATTCACATAAAGAATATTTTTCTGGAATATTATTATTTTCTTATCTATTTATTTTTATTTTTTTTTATTATTTTAACATATTTCCATTATGTCGAAACGTAAAATGAGTCGATAATTTGCATTATTATTCATTTGCATGCAGCTAAATATGACTACTTTTTTTAAATATGCTCAGAGATTACATTGTGCTGTACATTAGCTATTGTTTTTGTACCAATGTGGCCGTGCATTCTCGATATCGTTGTGCCCATGAATGAATCTCGACCATGTCCTCTAATTCCTATCAAGGCTGAATACTTTGTCGATCAAGAAAAGTATTTTTATTTAATTTTGCTGCACATAGACGTAGCTACTTTTATAGGGGCAATTGCATATATAGCAACGGGAACGATGCTCGTAGGATACCTCAAACACGCCTGTGGAATGTTTAAGATTGCCAGGTAAGAAAAAGAATACATAAAATATCAAAATAATCTATTTTATAAATAGAATATCATTTCTCGTCTAATAAATCTAGAAAGACTCTACAGTTACAGCAAAATTATTATTTATAGCTACCGTATTGAACGAGCAATGATAAACAAAATTTTTAAAAATAACATAAAGAATGAAATTACAATTTATAAGGCAATGATTTATGCTGTCGATATCCATCGTAAAGCTATGAAGTTAGTACTTATACAAAAATACATGTATATACAGATATACGGCTCATATTCAGAATGCGCTTTTATCGATAAAAGTGCGCTTTTATCTCTGAAATTTTATAATATGTGTGACGCACTAATATCGTTGTAAACTCGTTCTTTGTCCGAATACGGGCAAATGTGTATATATATATATATATATATATATACAGGGTGTTTGGAAAGTAATGAAAAAT